GTGTGTGTGTACGTTTGCCTGTACGTATTTGTATGTGGTTATTTGTGCGTGTGTGTGTATTTGTATGTGTATTTTTGAGCAGTTTTTATTTAACAGCTACTGAGTCTGTATCATTGACTAGATGCAACAGAACGCAAACCTGAAATCGAATTTATGGCATCTCTTTGTTTTAATACTTGAACTTAAGCTCAGAGTTTGGATTATTTTGACTTTTAACTTGAAAGTCGTAAGAGCTATTTTAGGACAAATTTTTGCAGGACTTATGATGGCCAGTGCAACAATATCGAACATCAGTTTTGGGGAGTTGCGCAGACACCATTTCGACGAAATTTGCCGCCAATTTATGAGAATGGTTTCAACACACCAGTTGGATGGGATCCCGAAAAATTGTATTTCGGTTTCAAAAAGCCAAATCCTCGACTTGTTTCCATGAAGCTTATTGCCACCGAAGAGATAACGCCACATTTTGGCTACACTGCAATGATGAAACAGTGGGGACAATTTCTGGGTAGCGTTATTTGTGCGCCGGCGCATTTTGCACTTCCAATAAAAATATTCTTTTCCATCGGCTACAAAATCAGTAGGACTACCGGTGCGAAACTTCCGGGGCTACTGAGATGGAGTCAGACTGTGTTTCCCCACACAGCACTGTTTACGGAAACTGCTGGTTCGGTTGTATTTCTCGCCGTTTTCTACTGTAAATTCCAATAATCAAATTTGCAGCACACGATATTGAGCAAACCGCGCCAGGCTTAGCACGTCAGACTTACATGAAGGGGGCAATATGCAACAAGACTTGCGAACATTTGGATCCTTGCTATAATGTTCCGATGCCGCCCGAAGATCCGCGGATGCAGGGCACGTGAGTATTTTTTTAATGTTTTTCGCTTGCTTGGCATTTCAGTCATAATGAATTGTCCCATAACTGACTTGCAGGAAGAAGCCAGAAATTCCATGCATCGAAGTGGAGCGCTCCAGTGCAACTTGTGGCTCCGGCCAAACCGGTCCAATCTATCGACAGCTTACGTATCGGGAACAAATGAACATTGTAGGTTTTTCCATACAGCGGAAGACGGTGGAACTGTGGAAAGCGACGATCGCTAGCTTGATGCAACTGAGATGCGGTATAATAAACCTCGAGCTGTGAACTACTTGCCTTCGCTCTTCAGCCTCAGCTCCGTTCTGTGCAGCTGCTATCTTTTAGGCCATAGAACGGGCAATAAGTTTCATCTGTAACAATAACTGCTGCAAGTCAAAACCCCTCCACATATCATTCTCTGAGAGAAGAGAAAACGCATAAAATATTTCATTCCCAAGT